TGCAGTTATACCGACCTAGGTTGTTTCAAGTCACGATCTAGCAGGTCTTCGGAGAAAATTAGTATTTTATGTCTCGTTTCATACAAAAAATACACAAATTATTTTTTTAAGCTAAAGTATCAGGTTTAGAGAAAAATGTGATATGACATGTCGTGATGAGTGAGCAAAGGACTATCGATTGGCAATTTTTAAAATTCGATTTTCCGGAAAAAATCCCTATGTCCACTTTAATGCCATTTCGATCCACCGTGCCTTACCTGAGGTCTGGGTTGTCGGCATCTTGCGTTGCGAGGCTGAGGACGTGCTGCACCAACTCTTGCGTATCTGCAGGCCGCTTCAAGAACAGCTTCACCACTGCCGTCAGCAGTTGCAGCTGGACCTGCGATACACACCAAGCAATATTATCATCAGCTAGCCTAAGATGCGCGCCATTTGTCGTCTGAAATCTCTGATAAACGACGGTAATGTTAAATCGAGGGACATCCTGGGCCGGAAATTCATTTATTTAATCTCCAGTGCATTACCAGTAACAAATAGAGAATCGAACTCTTCCTATGTTCTTCTGATTAATTTCGTTGCGGGTCCAATGACAGTTTAACTTTCCCCCGGGACAAACTTGACCTTCATTGGTTGGGTTTTTGTGGCGGTCAAGCTGTAGATCCTGGCTACCCAGAAGTTGCAGTGGTGGGAACGACAGGTGGGAATAGTCCCGTAGCCAGATGGGTTTTGGAGGCCTGTATTCCACGACATCCACGGTAAGAGTGGGGTGGTCATTCTTCTTTGTTTGTTCAATAATTTACATGGGTAGTGAAAAATGCATGTGGCTGAAACTCACTTGTTGATGCCAGTAAGGTAAGTGGACGTTAAACCAACTAGTGACGTGAATACAGTAGCTACACAATATTCTAGCTAGAATTTTGGGAAAAATACTACACTAAACAATAAATAGTATTATTGTGATTAAGCATCACATTTGTAAAGTAATAGCATTTTACCTGAGCGTTTTCATCGTGGAAGCCCTCTAGGAAGGAGTCGAGCAATTCGTCTGCGTTGTCGATACGCTCGGCGTACTCGCCGACGATCCAAACCTGTTGAGAAGAATATGACAGTATTATTTCATGGCATAGAATGGCTAAAAAAGGGTACTTCAAATGGGGCTTTCTATTTTTTCAAATAAAAAATGTTCTAGATTTAGAATCGTCACAATAGTAGTGATTATTTACATACAAATTGGAATCAATGATGCTGCCAATCAAGCTGCTGCTTTGGAGCACTAAAATCACTATTTCTTTTGACATAGATAAGGTTTATTTACATGCTGTATATTTCTTAGGGTGGATTCGACCAAAAAACAGTAAATATTAATCTCAGAATAAATCGTCAGTTTTGACATATTTCCCATACTGAAACTGTCAATGTGCCAGTTATACCAGGAGTTATTCTCGGATAAAGTTTGGTCGAATCGGGCCTTAATAAAAAAGAAGCAATTTAAACTTACCATCGACGCCCTAGCCTCGGGTTCGTCCAACGTATCCAAGTTCTCGCAAAGCGTACTGATGATGCTCTCATACTTGTTTGGGTATTTTCTGAAGATATCCTTGATCACCACTATGGCTTCTTGCACCACGTAGTTCACTTTGGTCTGGATCAGTTCTAGGAGGGTAGACACGCAGCGTTCTGCTGAGGGCTCCACCTGGGAAAATGGAATCATCGGTTTTAACCGTTATTTTTTAGATAATGTTGGGTCAGACAACTGAAGTTTTTTAAGGGACAAGTGAAACTGGCCCTAATGTTTGTTTGATTCAACCATTTTCAGGCTGATTTGCAACCATCGGATAACTTTTATCTTAAGAATAAAATTTTCATTTAGACCTATATTCCATACAGAAACTGACAACATTTCGAACTTATTTTGCAGGTACTACGTTACTATGTGATACTACTATTATATGACTAATGCCCCTTTTCACCATCAATTCCTAATTTTTAAGTGACCCCTATGGTAACACTTAACTGGAATTTTGTTTTCAAAGGGGTCTTAAAAATTAGTGATTAATGGTGAAAACGGGCATAAGTCAACCTGATAGGATTTTCCAAAATTCACCCTCTACGAGAATGAAACGGGATCCAAAGAAAAAAACAAGATAAGATACCTTTTTTAACGGGACTGTTTCTACCTTAATAATAATACCGTATACTTTCTCACCTTGATAGCGCATCTGCCGATGGCTCTCACAGCCTTCCTCACAAAATCCACATCCACCTCAGTGGCATACTCTTTGAGCTCTCCCAGCACTTGTGCAATGTTCGCCTGCGAGGCCAGGCGGATCATGATGTCCAGCTTCTCCAGCTTCACGTAGATAGGGTCGTTGTACTTCACGAAGAACACCTGCGGATATACTGGTAGGTTTAGTTCTGGATTTGACTAAGAGATGGCGCTGACGCTGTTGTGTTTTATTAGGCGGTATCATTGGATATTTTCTTGCTTTAATGAGAACTCAAAAACTGTTGAAATGAATCATAATGGTAATTGGGTATTTCACGTTTCAGTCACGTGCGATTGAATCTATTCTGTTAGTTTAAATGTGCTCATTATCCACTGCGGTATCACAACACACAATGTGTTCTGTTTTTGGGCATATTGCTCCGACACTGGCCCCGCCCCCTTTTCACATCTCAATTTAGTTTTTGTGATTTGTGAACAGCACCCACCTTCATCACAATCAAGTGGCAGTGGGCGGGGCACATAGCTCGTAGAGACGATGACCGTTGGGGCAAGAAAGTTCTCGAGTGGCGACCACGGGCTGGAAGACGTAGCGTGGGCAGGCCTCCTACTAGGTGGACCGACGATCTGGTAAAGGTCGCGGGAAGAGCCTGGATGCGGGCAGCGCAGGACCGTTCATTATGGAAAACCTTGGGGGAGGCATTTGTCCAGCAGTGGACGTCATTTGGCTGAAACGAACGAACGAACCCACCTTCATCTCGTGCTTGAGGATGTCGGGGCGCTTCTGGACCACGAGGTTGATGTTCCGCAGCGCCACGTACTTTGTTAGTTTATTCCTAGCTATTAGGAACTGGGGACGTTAAAAAAATACAAAGACTAATTCCTAATCCTGCGCGAAGATCTGAGTTCAGCAGCTTTTTTTATGCAGCACCCAGTGATATAAATACGTGCGAGCGATAAGGATGGGTAAAGTCTGGTCCGTGAGCACGCAGAATTTTGTCCAATGACCTCAAGCTACCCATCCTTATCGCTCGCGCGTAATTATGTTCCAATCGCGCTCGCACTCACTGCGGGTGCCAGTCGCACAGTCGCGACAGCAATATAATTGCGCGCGAGCGATAAGGATGGGTAGCTAGGGGTCATTGGACAAAATTCAACGCGCTCACGGACCGGGCTTTAGCTTGGTATCGTTGGACGAAATTCTGCGTGCTCGGCGATCGGACTTTACTATCTCTAAGGGCTATATTTCACCGGGACACCATGTCGGCGCAACCAGTCGCCGGCTACCAACAAAATGTATGCAGCTCTATAGATAATTACTCACCTGGTGTCCGTTTGGTTGCGCAAAGCTGCATACATTCTGTTGGTAGCCGGCGACTGGTTGCGCCGCCATGGTGTCCCGGTGAAATATAGCCCTTAGGTCATTCCTCACCTTCATCTCGTGCTTGAGGATATCGGGGCGCTTCTGGACGACCAGGTTGATGTTCCGCAGCGCCACGTACTGCACCTCGGGCTCCGCGCTCAGCAGCGTCACCAGCGGCGGCGCCAGCTTGCGGGACAGCGTGCTGACAAGCTCCGTGTCTTCCGCTACCATCTCCATCAGCTTCATCAGCACCTGGGCAGAAGAAAAAGATAACTAACGCCATATCTAGCTGAGCTCATAGCTATAACGGATTAGCAAGCTGAAGTGGCAATGGGCAGGGCACATTGTACGCAAAACTGACGGCCGATGGGACAACTACGACCTCATAAAGGTAGCAGGAAGGCGGTGGATGCAGGCCGCTACCAACCGGGCGATGTGGAAAGAATTGGGGGATGCCTATATTCAACAGTGGACGTCCTGTGGCTAAAATAATAATAATCTAAAGCCTGGTCCGTGAGCACGTAGAATTTTGTCCAATGACCCCATGCTACCCATCCTTATCGCTCGCGCGTAATTATATTGCTGCCGCGACTGTGCGACGGGTGCCCGCAGTGAGTGAGCAACATAATTACTCGCGAGAGATAAGGATGGGTAGCGTGGGGTCATTAAACAAAATTCTACGTGCTCACGGACCAGGTTTTAGCTGGATAGATAGACAGTTCTGAGCATCTGGATACCTGGCTGTGATAAATGGACAGCTAGCTGTGTAACAAGTAGAGTAGGTGGATAGTCAGCTGGATAGCTGGGATACCTCGACGGCGGAGAGCACGACGGCGGCGTTAGCGTGGGCCAGGCGCGGCGTGATACGCTCGCAGATGATGAGAGAGTAGTTGGATAGCGCGTCCAGGATTAACACCTGGTCACTCTGTGCACTCGTTTAAGGGCAGTTAGGAGCTTTAAACTGAGTGGGTGCTGGAGCTGGTCAGGTGGATAGCTCTGCAGAAGGATAGCCAGGATATCTTGACGGCGGAGAGAACGACGGCTGCGTTAGCGTGGGCCAGGCGCGGCGTGATACGCTCGCAGATGGAATGCGCGGAGAGTAGTTGGATAGCGCGTCCAGGATGAACACCTGGCCCCATTCCGTGCACTCGTTTAAGACAGTTAGGAGCTTTGAGTGGGTGGATAGCTAGCTGTGCAGATGGATAGCTACGATACCTTGACGGCGGAGAGCACGACGGCAGCGTTAGCGTGGGCCAGGCGCCGCGTGATTCGCTCGCAGATGATGAGAGAGTAGTTGGATAGCGCGTCCAGGATGAACACCTGGCCCCACTCCGTGCACTCGTTTAAGGCAGTTAGGATCTTAAGCTAAGTGGATGGATAGCTCTGCAGATGGATAGTTAGGATACCTTGACGGCTGATAGCACGACGGCAGCGTTAGCGTGGGCCAGGCGCCGCGTGATTCGCTCGCAGATGATGAGAGAGTAGTTGGATAGCGCGTCCAGGATGAACACCTGGCCCCACTCCGTACAATCGTTCAAGGCAGGAGCTTAAGCCGAGTGGATGGATAGCTCTGCAGATGGATAGCCAGGATACCTTGACGGCGGAGAGCACGACGGCTGCGTTAGCGTGGGCCAGGCGCGGCGTGATTCGCTCGCAGATAATGAGAGAGTAGTTGGATAGCGCGTCCAGGACGAACACCTGGCCCCACTCTGAGCATTCGTTTAGGGCAGTTAGGAGCTTTGAGTGGGTGGATAGCTAGCTGTGCAGATGGATAGTACGGATATCTTGACGGCGGAGAGCACGACGGCAGCGTTAGCGTGGGCCAGCCAGGCGCGGCGTGATACGCTCGCAGATGGAATGCGCCTGCGTCCAGGATGAACACCTGGCCCCACTCTATGCACTCATTTAGGGCGGTTAAGAGCTTTAAAGCTGAGTGGGTGGATAGCTGTGCAGATGGATAGCTACGATACCTTGACGGCGGAGAGCACGACGGCTGCGTTAGCGTGGGCCAGGCGCGGCGTGATTCGCTCGCAGATAGAATGCGCTTCGCGAGCGTCGCGCGGAGAATAGTTGGATAGCGCGTCCAGGATGAACACCTGGCCCCACTCCGTGCACTCGTTTAAGACAGTTAGGAGCTTTGAGTGGGTGGATAACTAGCTGTGCAGATGGATAGTACGGATATCTTGAAGGCGGAGAGCACGACGGCAGCGTTAGCGTGGGCCAGGCGCGGCGTGATACTCTCGCAGATGATGAGAGAGTAGTTGGATAGCACTTCCAGGATAAACACCTGGCCCCACTCCGTACAATCGTTCAAGGCAGGAG